CCAGCCTGCTGTAATTTCCTGCAATTCAATAAATAGAATATTCGTTATACTTTACATTTTGACATAGATATGATTATTAATTTATTGGAAACGGTTACGTCTGTTGAACACATGAGCATACCAACAGTATTCAAGTCTGTCACAAAATCGCTACATTAATCCATGAATAAGATCTTTTACCGCAAATTTCATAAAACAATATTTAACAAACTAGTAAGAAAATAAAACATAAATTCAAGGACACAATCGTAAATGTGTGCATCAAATCACTGCCGTCATCTGGAAACGCCTGCAACTTGTCACAAGTGTCAAAGTTTGATGCTAACGCCGTATGTAGCAGTTAGCAGAAACAGCTGCGGGTAATTAGCGTACGAAACGGCATTTTAATCCAACCGTTACTTACAGAATTCCACCAGAATGTCGGGGTGAGAGCCCAGAGCCTCCTCAAAGTTGGTCTTCTTCAGCACCAGGACATCTTCTTCCTCGGCGATTTCTGCCCTGCTGACCACAGCCAGTGCGCAGACGAGCCAAAACTTCAACATGGTCGTATTTTTTCTTTTTCTTCTTCCGGAACTAGGGTCTAGAGCTGCGGACACGCTCGGCTGCGGTTCCACTTGAGTGCAGAAATCAGTATGCGTTTACGGCGTTCTTCCTTGTTTCAGGTCGGGGAGAGTATCTGTGTATTTTTGTGTCTGCCGCTACTAACGTGGCACCGCACGCAGAAACCGGAGGGGTCAGCAGTCGTGCGCATGCGCATTTATCAGGCCCAAAGCAGTTCGTGTTGAATTGTGACTGGACCGTAGCAGCCTGTACCTGGAAGTGAATGATAGGAGCTGCCGCCTGCTCTCTGCTGCCGCTGATACAATCCCTGTGCAAATATAGCCTCGCTGATACAATCCCTGTGCAAATACAGACAGTTTTTTTTTAAATCCAGCATTATTTAATGTTTTGTCGTGTAATATTCTTTGGTTCTAACAGATACGTTTCTGCGTATGTATATACATATATTAAAAATAAATAAATAAAACATTTAATGTTTTCCCATCATTCCTTCTTCCCTTCATTCCTTCCTTTATTTTAAAGCCATTTTAATTTAAAATCTATTAATTTTCCCTTCTTCCTTCTTTCATTTTAATTTAAAATCTATTCATTTTCGCTTCTTCATACCCTTCTTCCTGTCCCCTTATTTTATTTTTATAGCCAATTTTAATATCAAAAACTACATTCCATTTCCTTTCTTGCTTTTATAAGCATTTTTTGTAAAAACAAAACATTTCTTCTATTCAGTTTTATTCTCTTTCCTGTCTTTCTTTTTTTCTAACCATCATGGTTACAGACATAGTTAGCTACTGTCACAACCCAGGTTTAACCTACAGACTCTGGGATGAGTTATTGACATAACCCTCCATTCCATGCCGGGTTAGTGATTACTACAACTTGTTTTCTATGACTGACCTTTTGGCTTGTCTGTTTTGAAAATGTCTGTAATATAACCAGTGATCACTTGGTAGTTTTATTTCTTTGTGTCCTTGTGTCTCAATTCCTGATGCTGACATTTAGTCTATATAGGAATCTATTGTTGCTCCAAATAATAGGTAGTTACTTGCACTGTACTGATGGGACTGAAGGGTTCTTATTGGGACTGTGCAGTATATCCGAATGCGTCATTATGTGAGAACCTGTAATGCAGTTTTTGCAGGTGCAGACGATTATAAAGCTGGTTCAGCTAGTCACAGTGAGAGAATAGGTCAAAGAGTTTAACCTTGTTTGTGATACGTGTTAATCTTTCTAAAATAATGTGTTATTTTACAAACTAAAATGCTGATTTAACCACACAATTTACCCGACATTGGGTTGAACCTCCCACAGAAAACGATGTGATAAAGTCACCAAAACACAGGGAAACTAATCACACTGCCAACATCACATTTTGACGCAGCGTCTGCACTGAGTTAGGGAACACACTGCAGGGTGATTTAACTCTGCTTTAAAAGACTTGGTCAATATTACACAGAGATAACATTGCAGCGTGTGCTGATATGGAAACTCATAAAAACTTACTAGTGATATTCAATAGCACATGAATGTCACAGAGCACACCCTAATTGTGCTGTAAAGAGAGCTCTCCGGCTGACAACTGTGAGAAGCTGATTGGCTGTAGCAGTTTTCTAAAGCAATTTGAACCACACTGTCCCAGGATTTGGCACGTAGGACGCCCTACAATCCGTCACATGAGGGAGGGGGCAGGGAGGGTGTATTTCCTGTTAAAAACTACAGGCTATACAGCCGCAGGAGCAAGCACAAAATGAAATAACACATAGTGTACAGTGTGATCTCTCTCTCTCTCTACATATATATACAGTATATCTTCTTTTTCTTTTGACTTTGT